CAGATTACAGGATAGTTTTTTTCTGAAACCAAATTGTTTATTGGAGAGTAGGTTGTTTGTCTCTAAATGGAGGATGATGGATTGGTTAATAATTGATTCCATGACTTTACAGGTGACGCAGCATAAGGAGATTGGTCTGTAATTTTCAACTAGGCTTGGGTCTCCCTTTTTGAAGATGGGAATGACTGTGGCTTGTAACCATAGGTTGGGCAAGGAGCTGGTTCTGAAAGATCTTATATTTTATATACTGGCAATCTGTTTCAGATTGTTCAGGAGGAAAATCCATATATATAAAATAATCATCAGATATGATTTTAAAATATTAGGCAATCTTTTTTACGCATGTGGGTCTTTCTCCTGAGGAAATATGCATAGAATTGCTTTGCTAGAGGTATGTCTATGTTGAATTGTTCACTAGAAATGAACTGCTGGATTTTTTAAAATTAAAATAATGTTTTTCAGTACAGTATACCCCTATTCACTATTTCTGCATCATTAATTATTTAGAATTCTCTGAGAATGACAACAATCACATAGAAATGGTGACTCAGATATTCCCTTTATAAAACCTATCCTGAAGTACCAGCTTGCTTTTCTGTTTTTAAGAAACAGTACAAGAAGCAAATCTAACCTATGTAATGTTTATCCTCAGGAAAATTCAATGTGGCCAAGATAATATTTTTAATTAATTCCTTAGAATGTTTTTTTTTTCAAAAGCAGAAGACTCTCTCATATTCCATTTTTCTAACATAATTTTCTATTTCCATTGTCTAATATATTCATTGTAATGAATATTATTTCCCATGATTAATTTAAAGAATTCAGTTTATGGATTTTAAGTAATGTAATTAAAATGTTTAAATGAATTTCTTTTTAATAGATGTCTTACTTTTTCTTTCCTCTTCAATGCAATGTAATAGAATATCTCCAATTATATTTTCATGACAATCCAGTGAGGTAAATTGGTCTGAAAGGTAGCACGTAGCCTAGACTGAAAAGATTCCTTGGTTGATCATGGATAAATTCCAGTCTTTAATGGCTTGGTAGCTAAGATGCTGAGTTTGTCGATCAGAAAGGTCGGCAATTTCGTGGTTTGAATCCCTAGCACTGTGTAACGGAGTGAGCTCTCGTTACTTGTCCCAACTTCTGCCAACCTAACAATTTGAAAGCATGTAAAAATGCAAGTAGAAAAATAGGGACCCCCTGGGTGGGAAGGTAACAGTGTTCTGTGCCCCTTAATCATACCAGCCACATGACCACAGAGACGTCTCTGGACAATGCTGGCTCTTCGGCTTTATAATGGAGATGAGTACTGCCCCCTAGAGCTGGAAACGATTAGCACGTATGTGCGAGGGGAACCTTTACCTTTAATATGTAACCCTTTAAAACACATTTCATTTTTGGCTACCTGTCTTTTGCATGCCTGCTCAGGCTAGCAATAAAGTACAGGTGTGAGTGAAAACAAATACATACTGTAGGTACGGTATTGGAGTCTGTTCTTGTGCAAGTTTGTTCTAAGTCCTGCTGAGTTTAGATGCTTCTCCCTAGTCAAATAACTGATAAACAGTAGGTGTTGCTTTCCTCACATGAGAATCAGTATTTGATTTTCCATGTTGGAATAAACAGTAGCTGCTATTTTCTATAACCCATTCTGTACACTGGGGACGATAGCTGCTATTTTCTGTAACCCATTCTGTACTTGTGATCTTCTCAAGTTAATTAAGATGCAGTTGAATGAGATTCAAGTTCACTAAGATGTGAACATCTGTTTTACCATCAGGTGAGTTTTAAAACATCCTGAACACCAACACCTTCATGGTCTAAAATCCAGTTCTCATGTGAATTATTGGTTCATGAACAAATAGAATAGGTTCACATGTGGTATTCTATGGTCTATTTAAACTTGCTTTACTGAATAACCATAACATCTGAGTTTGCACAACATATTTAATAATAGTTTACAAAACAAAATTTGTAAATTTTCATGCAAACGCTAACCCAACATTTTAAGTGGATAAATGTCAAGGGCAAAATAGGGTATTTGGGATTGGGAAACATATCATGGGCAGAGATATAGATGGCTCACATACAGACAGATAGGGAGTTCTGGGTAGACTCTTATAAAAGAAGGAAACTCGCTCATTGATAAACAAGCTCCTTCTAATCTAATGGCTCCAACCCTAGCTACTGGAAGCTGAATCTTGTGGGGGCATTGGACTCAGGCTATTCCTGGTAAAAACTAGGCAATGCACAGTAAGACAGAATTAAACCACATGATAGATGAGAAATGTTCTGTACCATAGGTTGTGGCTGGCAAGAGACATGGACCGTTCTCTTGAGTTTCAGGCTCTGCAGTAGCTCCAACACCAAGGCTAAAGAGGTGGGATACTGTACCATAATCATACAGGAAGCAATGACCTGTCATTGGTTTTGAGTGTATATACACTGCTCAAAAAAATAAAGGGAACACAAAAATAAGACATCCTAGATCCGAATGAATGAAATATTCTGATTAAATACTTTGTTCATTACATAGTTGAACGTGCTGACAACAAAATCACACAAAAATTATCAATGGAAATCAAATTGAGCAACCCATGGAGGTCTGGATTTGGAGTTACACTCAAAATTAAAGTGGAAAAAAACACTACAGGGTGATCCGACTTTGATGTAATGTCCTTAAAACAAGTCAAAATGAGACTCAGTAGTGTGTGTGGCCTCCACGTGCCTGTATGACCTCCCTACAATGCCTGATGAGGTGGCGAATGATCTCCTGAGGGATCGCCTCCCACACCTGGACTAAAGCATCCCCCAACTCCTGGACAGTCTGTGGTGCAACGTGGCGTTGGTGGATGGAGCGAGACATGATATCCCAGATATGCTCAATTGGATTCAGGTCTGGGGAATGGGCGGGCCAGTCCATAGCATCAATGCCTTTGTCTTGCAGGAACTGCTGACACACTCCAGCCACATGAGGTCTAGCATTGTCTTGCATTAGGAAGAACCCAGGGCCAACCGCACCAGCATATGGTCTCACAAGGGGTCTGAGGATCTCATCTCGGTACCTAATGGCAGTCAGGCTACCTCTGGCGAGCACATGGAGGGCTGTGCAGCCCCCTAAAGAAATGCCACCCCACACCATTACTGACCCACTGCCAAAACGGTCATGCTGGAGGATGTGGCAGGCAGCAGAACGTTCTCCATGGCGTCTCCAGACCCTGTCATGTCTGTCACATGTGCTCATTGTGAACCTGCTTTCATCTGTAAAGAGCACAGGGCACCAGTGGTGATTTGCCAATCTTGGTGTTCTCTGGCAAATGCCAAATGTCCTACATGATGTTGGGCTGTAAGCACAACGCCCACCTGTGGATGTCGGGCCCTCATACCACCCTCATGAAGTCTGTTTCTGACTGTTTGAGCAGCCACATGCACATTTGTGGCCCGCTGGAGGTCATTTTGCAGGGCTCTGGAAGTGCTCCTCCTGTCCCTCCTTGCACAAAGGCGGAGGTAGCGGTCCTGATGCTGGGTTGTTGCCCTCCTACGGCCTCCTCCACATCTCCTGATGTACTGGCCTGTCTCCTGGTAGCGCCTCCATGCTCTGGACACTATGCTGACAGACACAGCAAACCTTCTTGCCACAGCTCGCATTGAAGTGCCATCCTGGATGAGCTGCACTACCTGAGCCACTTGTGTGGGTTGTAGACTCCGTCTCATGCTACCACTAGAGTGAAAGCACCACCAGCATTCAAAAGTGACCAAACCATCAGCCAGAAAGCATAGGAACTGAGAAGTGGTCTGTGGTCACCACCTGCAGAACCACTCCTTTATTGGGGATGTCTTGCTAACTGCCTATGCTTTCCACCTGTTGTCTATTCTATTTGCACAACAGCATGTGAAATTGATTGTCAATCAGTGTTGCTACCTAAGTGGACAGTTTGATTTCACGGAAGTGTGATTGACTTAGAGTTACATTGTGTTGTTTAATTGTTCCCTTTATTTTTTTGAGCAGTGTGTGTGTGTGTGTGTGTGTGTGTGTGATGTCAAATTAAAACTGCTATTGTGTAACAATTGTCTTGCTGCTTGGCAATGGCTCTGCATGAGTAGATGTCATCTAAGGGCTACTGCTGGAGTCCCTGTGGCTTTTGTTCTCAGGAGGCTTTCTGTCTCCATGCCTTGGGAGAAGAGACTGGGTTATCTCATGGTTTTTTTTGCCTTTAAGGTACTCAAGAACTTGTTTACAAATGCTTATAGCTCCAAAAGACAAGCATATGCTGGACCTTGGATCAAATTTGATTTGAATTTGAAGAATATTGACAAATGTCCTTTTGCTGTACTGATCTATTGTTAGCCAAACTGGAGATTTTGGGTTCCTTGTATTTCTGTCATGGCAATGAACCCATTATGATGGTCTGCCTGAGATGCCTGATACATCCTGGATAATTTCAAGAAGGTACTTAAGAATTTTCCAGATAATCTGATGGATGTTCTGTCCCATACTGGTGTCTCTCTACCATGCAAAGATTGCATGAAAAGATAGCTTGAGCTTATGCTATTAAGATTTCTTCCCAACTGTTGATTCCATGCTTCTGTCTGGAACTGCGAGAGATGAAGCAAGCAAAAAAAAAATGTGATGATACCTGCCATGGTGGTGAAGCTTCTTGGGAAGGCAAAGACTAAGATCCATGTTTCAACTACGTTTCAATGCTCTAACCTATTTATTATATAATCCTCCACCAAGCACATCCTGGTTAACATAAAAATTACCATATACCTAGCAATATAAAGTCCCCAAATTATATTATGGGATAGCACGATTTTTAAACTTTTAAACTAAATACAAAACAAAAATACCAAATAATTCAACACAAGGCTATCTGAACCCATGATGGTCTGGATACAGTATGTCTGTAGGCATAGATATGAGTAGTGATTTCATTAATGAGAGGAGATAAATCATGGCACAAGAATAACAAAATTGTTACACAAATTCTGCAACTTACATATTTGCATCAGACATTCGGGCAGAAACATGTAATGAGGCAATTGTGTGATCATGCCATCATACACATCATCATGGCTTGTTGGAGACATCATAGGCATTGGCCCATCAATCAGGGGAAAATCTATTTCCTCCTAAAAAAAAAAAGACCCCAAATAGAGAGATAGAAAGGAATGACTGAATCTTGTAGTATTTATTTGTTTTCACGTTCTCTGTTTAAGCTCAGTAGATCTTAATGAGCAGGCAGATTATATAATTTATTATATAATTCCTGAAATAAAACAATCAGTTTCACGTGAGCTATGGTATAATAAAAAATATCTATTATAAATGAAATGAAAACAAGTGATATCTTTGCTACAAGATAATAGTGCTTGTTTTTAAAATCCATGCCTGGCACAAATATTTTAAAACACTTACTTTGGCTAGATGAGTTTTTTTTTGTTCTGATTCAGTGTTTCATTAGTAATAATAATATATACAAAAGAAAATTTTATTTGCACAAAAGGAGCTTGTTACTATTTGTTTTTTATAAACCAAGATACTGCAAACAACTATACTACCCTGATATTTTTCAAAATAAGAATACGTAAATTGTTTTATAGCCTTTTCATTTGCTATTCCTGGTAGAAATGGTATTCTATTGATTTCTGCTTCTCTTCTGAATTTTTCCTTGTCATTTAAATTATTATCTTCAATTTATCTTTTCATTAGAATCACATTTCATTATATAAGATTATTTATATAATATATAGTTATGTTATGCTAGAATAAATAATCAGTGTAATGACTTGCCTCCAAAAGTTGTGAATTCTCCCACACTTGAAGTTTTTAAGAAGGGATTGGACAACCATTTGTCTGAAATGGTATAGGAGTTCCTGCCTGAGCAGGGGGTTGGACTAGAAGACCTCCAAGGTCCCTTCCAACTCTGTTGTTCTGCTATATTTCCCTACCATTGAATCAGAAAATTTTATATAATCCAAAAGCCACATTAAACAATTTTCAATTTTCAATTTCATACCTTGAGATAAATATACGAACTTCTCTCATAGCATCTAAAGATTATTCTTCCCTAATAAAAATTATTAATTTTACTTAATCTCTAAAATATGCATGCTTTCATATCACTTCGCTTCTAGAAGTCACACCTTCCACATTTGAAGACAAGGAACATTTGGTTAAATGTTGCAGTGTCAGAATTTTGGTTCTTGGTAAATGTAATTCACTTGACTCTCTCTGGAGATCTCTGTAAATATAAGGACTGCAGCATCCAAATATGGTGGGGTAAAGAGAACATCAAAACCTTAAGTCTGAAGAAAGCAACATTACCATGGAGCAGAATGGTGAAAAATGCTGTCATTATTTTGATAAAAGCAGTCAGAGTTACAGACTTATTTTATTCCAACTTTATTATTTTTATAAATAACTCAAGGTGTGAACATACATGATCCTTTCTCCTATTTTTCCCACAACATCTACCTTGTAAGGTGGGTTTGGTTGAGAGAGTGACTAGTCCAAGGTCACTTAGCCGGTTTTCATGCTTAAGGTGGGACGAGAATCAGAGTTTCCTAGTTTCTAGCCTAGTATCCTAACCACGGATGTCAAGCTCGCCATGTCACATTGCTGTCATGTGATATTTCACAATGTTTTCCCCATTCATGGAGCTAGGGTGGGTGTGGCCTGCACATGACACATCCAGCCCGCAGGCCACCAGTTTGACATCCCTACACTAGACATACCCATGGGACTTTCTCTTCTCTTCATTATTCCTCTCTAGGTCTTGGCAATATAGGATTGTGGTGCCTGTTCTTGCTTAATTGCTGGTCCAGACTATTCTTCCTGGTCACCTAATTTGCACTTGTGATCCAAGGTGCAGTTGTGGCAAAGCATTCACTCCACCCTAAATATCAAAGAGAAATGTATAGTTCATTTTGCTTTTAAAACTTGAAATCAAGTCAGAACACAAGTGTGTTTACAAAACTGTAGCTGTGGCTTATGTTATGATCTTCTTAGCAGCATGCTTAGGAGTTACACTATAAATTAATAACTCTAATAAAGGATCTTTTTGTGCTAGAATATGTTTTGAAGTCTGAACTATACTTTCTAATTCTCCATGGGTTTGTGGATAGGGAGGTCATTGTATTATGAATAAAGTTGACCTTCTCTGCAAATTATTTTACTTGTCTGGTAATAACTGTTATGACATCATGAGAGCACCTTTAGCTAGGTATTTTATTTTAAAACAATTGGTGGCAGCAGATCTTGCAAAATTACTCATGGCTGCAAACTTTGTAGAAAAAAATTGATATAACAGGCTAGAATTGTGGGTACAGTACTCATTAAATCTGAATGTCTATTAAATCTAGGTTCCAATTTATCTTGTTTGCATTATTATGTATTTTAATCTGAACTGCTTCAAGAAAAGTCCTCTAAATGGATGTCCATATAATTAAAATTTTACTGTTTTGGGAAGAAAAATCTTTATATTAGCTAACTAGCTATTTCTTCCAAGATCATAAACATGATTTCTTTACTTATTTAAAACATGTATATACCCATCCATTTTATAACCACTTTTGGCAATTCCAGTTATTTTGTTGTGCCATTTGATGAATATAACTCTCAATGCTGCTTTCCTATTCACTGAGTCAAAGCACCCTTCACCTTTTTGCCATTTTCTTTTTATTGCTGTGCTGGAGTCATCACTTTTAAATACCTGACCTATTATCAAAAGTATATAAATGAGAAGAATTAATCAGCAGAAATCATAATGAACTAGTATTCCCAATATTATTGAATCAAAATCCTCTGCCTGATAATAAAATAATAATAATCAGATTATGATTTCATCTGAGGATGAAAATTACTGGATTGTTTCAGTAATAAGTCCATCAGATTTAGACTGCAAACATCCTGATGTCCACTAAATGGCAACAATAAATTAGATTTTGCTATATGTCTTTGCAGCCATCTAATAATTGTGCTGATAATTTTCCTCTTCAAAACCTTCAAATTATATTTGAAAGGTATATAACATTTCTATTTTTTATTTATTTATATTTAACATTTGACATTTTTGAATTGCCCATCTCCCTCAAAGAACAAAAATACAACACTCCCAGTAAGAGATACATTACCTTTGGGTAAAAAGAAAATATGACATGCAACAACTAAGACATGAAAGTGCATTTCTCCTAGACAAACCCATTATCTCAAACTATACAGAAAGTCTACAGACAAATTACCAAAGCAGTAAACTACAGTACTTTTTCAAACATTCTGGTTTTTCTTTTTGCTTAAAAAATTATTCAGAACTTAACCATGTGGAGAGCTGAATGGATTTGTTAAGCACTTGAGGATTTGCTGGAGTACGTGCTATTATAGGTATTTTTGTGAAATGACTCATATGTTTTGGCTGATGGTGCCTCTTTGTGTTCACAGAATGTGTAACTCTGCTGGCCGTTTCTTTTATACACAGTAGGTGTAGAGAGGTGAACAAAACACCCTTGCTTTACTATTTTCCCATGCAGTCTTTTCAGTCACAATTTCTTATTTTATGGTTTCCAGTTCTGGGTTTGTTTCGCACTACTTCCTGGTGCCTCCTTCCACTTCTTATCTTGCCATCTTTTGGCTGGTCAAAATATTCTTAGTACTTCCTCTTCCCCATGCTCTGTACCAGAACAGACCAGGCAGGCTGTTATATCTGAAAAGTTCACAGTGTACTCAGTCTACTTGTTAAGTTCTGAGCGAAGAATGGAGAGGCCAGAGTGATCTTTAACAGCTCTTTATTCAATACTGCCTGTGAGGCAATTGAACTCCCTGGCTGACACAGCTCCTTTTATAGGAAACCGATCATCCAAGTGACCAATCAGGAGAGAGTATTTTCCCGCTCCAACAGACAACCAGAATGAGAACTTCAACTGACAACTATACACTATATACAATACATAACACCCCCTCCCCACCAAAACAGAGTATTATATTGATCAAAATAAAAATTTAACATATGTAGTATTTTAGGTGGGCAGGGTAGCGATGTGTTCATCCTGACCTATGAGGTTCCATCTCAAGGCCAGTAGCTCCGGAGCCTTGACTAGGCAGAGTGGCTGATGCTGCCTTAGGTACAGCTTACGGCAGCAACAAAGGGTCAGTCACTGATGCTTCTAACACAAGAGGAACTGAGTCAGCAGGCATCTGCGACTAACTACAGTCTCTTGTCGGTACCATTGTTTGTGGTGGCATAGCTAGCATGTCCTTAGCTGGGGTCATCTTTGGTGGAGTCCATTCTAGTGGTGGTAGATGGAGGTTCTGAGGTGGTCAGGCAGTTGGTTGATGTAGCGGCGCTGAACCTGGCATCTTCAAGCAGCACCCTGTAGGAACATGGCTCAGTAACGTCCACTACCAGGGCAGGAATCCAGGAAGGACCCCTGGCATAGTTGCTTGGTGAGAATGACTGGAGCTGGCTGGTTGAGTCTACAGGGACCTCCGAGGAGTAGTCCGGGTGCAGCCGGTCCAAGTCAGTCCACAAGTGGCGATCCATTAGGAGTTCGGCCAGACTCCTGTTGGTAGTGGAGCTTGGTGTGATGTACTCAACTAGGAGGTATTCAGCTATCCATGTTTGCCAGTCTTCCAGGCCTATCCTTGTCAGTGCTTACTTTTCTGATTGGGCCATCCACTCACCCTGCCCATTGTTAGCAGGATGAAATGGTGCAATCAGGACATGACAAATGCCTTGACCCACCAAGAACAGTTTGAACTGGCTTAATGTGAGCTGTGGCCCGTTGTCTGAAATGAGGACATCTGGCAGTCGCAAACAGCCTTTTAAGGGCCTTGATCACAGCGTCTGAGGTGATTGATGTCACGAATACCACCTCAAGCCATTTTGAGTAGGCATCCAAAACCACCATAAAAGTCTGTCCATGGAAAGGCCCTGCAAAGTCAATATGCACCCTCGACCAAGTTGTCTTGGGTGCTTTCCACTCACGTGCTGGAAAGGATGGGGGGACTCGCCTTGATTCTTAGCAAGAGTCTGACAAGATGCAATCCAATCACTGATGGCCTTGTCTAAGTTGGGTCACCAGAAATAACTGTGGA